GGGGCAGAGGGAGAGACAATGGGCTGGTGGAGAGAGGACCCATCCGGACCGGGGAGACTGTGCGCTCCCAGCGCCTGAGCCGCCCGGGCGGCCAACTCGGAGGGAGCGAGAGAGCGAGGGAGCGAGCGAGAAGGGCCCGCGAGGAGCGGCGGAGACCCGGGCGTTCTGTAACTAAAATGAGCGGAGCGCAGCGGCGGCGGCGGCAATAAGCTTATTGCAATTGACAGCGTCTGCAGTTCATTTCAAGATGGCCGCTTGGCTCACATTCATTTTCTGCTGAACGACTTTTAACTTTCATTGTCTTTTTTGGCCGCTCCGATCATCACCCACCGGCTCCGTTTTCCGGGTACGTATGAAGCGAGGTGTCGCCTTAGCAAGGGCGGGGGGCGAAGGGGGCTCGGCGGCGGTTTTCGGCCGGTTTGGGGGCTGCAAAGGGGCGCCTAGGTGTCCCCCGAGCTCTCCGTATGGGAAAAGCGCTGACAGGCTGCTCCAGCCACACACACACATACAGACACGCAGCAGCAGCAGCAGCAGCCTGTGCACTCGCTCGCGTTACGCACCCACATTTGCAAATTTTAGTTCCTTTCTTTCTCCAGACGCCCCCTAAAACCTTTCTGTGCACATGGCCCCCGAGGAGAATATTTATATTTCCCGACCCTGCTGCCAGCCCGGCCCGAGCGCCCTTTGTTTAAAGGCAGATTTTGATTAAACAGGGACGTTCGTGAAATCTGGAGCTGCCTGGGTCAAGTGATTTCAGTCCTCCCCGAAAGAAATGTGTCTGGGGGAGGTTAAAATGTCAGATAACGCACCCATTTTATAGAGACGGAGCCAGCGGGGGGTAGCGATCCTCCTGGGGGGGTTGTTAGGAGCCGGGGCACCCAGCAGAAAATGTTATTAACTTAAGTTGGACAAGTACTTGTGTGAAATTGGATGGGTTGTAAGATGGCGGTTCCCAGTTGTTTCCAATGTCTCCTCTTACATTTCTGCTCTAAATGCTAAACTTTAGGGGTTTGTGCCTACTGGGAGAGGCAAGGGATGGCCAACGCCGAGAAATAACTTTTTTGGGGGGTGAGGATAGCAGTTTGGCTGCGATCTTGGGGAGCTGGGGCGTGCGGTTTGCTGGAGCCTTTGGAGCAAAGGTGATGTGTCTGCGGGACGCGGAGGGGGGGGTGGTGTGTGTGAATTTCTTTTCTCTGGTTGGTATTTTTTTTCTCCTGAGCCCGGGAAGGGTAAATTTACATGAAATCCTTTGTCAGATCTTAGAGATGTCGCGAGTGGGCTCCTCGTACTGCTTATGGGCAGCCCTTGAAAGTTGCTAGTGTTCTGGTTTTATAATTGAATGGCCTTGGCGATATATAACGCGGGATGTTTCTCTGTGTTTACTGTAAACATTTGCAAATAATGAGGTAAAAATAAGCAGAAAAAAATCGCATTTCTATACAAGTGAGATAGTAACTTTTCAGCCTCTAGAAAGTTTGATTCACTCCTCCATTCTCCAGAAAAGTCGAAGAAAACCTGGGCGTGTGTGCCCATTTGCAAGCTTGGCGCTAGAAGGATTTTTTTTGCGTAGTCTGTAGTGGTCGGAGTAGCTTCTTTTATGGGACTGTCCCTAACACCAGGGACATTCTGGAAATACAGTCCAGTAAAACTACTTTGAGTGACTCTGAGCAGCCCATCCTGGAAACTGAGACAGACTTGTGTTGCAGTTTGCCAGAGACACGAAGTCCTGACCTACCTGGTCGCTTAGATAGTACAAAATTAGCATTTTAATGTATTTTTTTAAGTAGACCTATTATGTCTTACGCCTAGTCACAGGGAGCTGATTTTGAAGACTGGGGTCCTTTTGCACTCTGTTGCCAATATTCAGGTCTTTCCTCGGTGCAGCAAGTTGGGCAGAGATATTTGAGCTTCGTGTGCCTTCTCTGAAAGAAGCACCGTCCTCTCCTTTAAAACGTTTGCGTCCATTCTTAAGTGAAAGAGTAATAACAGGCTCGATAGTACAAGTGGCTCTGGCTGATAATGAGTGAAGATGTGGAATGACGGCTGCTTTATTCCTGATGAGAGAGTTTTCCGAGAGGAGATGGGTGCAAAGTACACAAACCTATGCGAGCCATGCTTCTATTTTTTATGTATGTATTTTCTGTTAGAGACCTGTCGAGCAAGGTTTGATAGCTTATTGCCTTTATAGATTTGTAATAATGTAGCTGATTCTTAGCAGGAGAATGCACTTCTGTTTTTCTTCATTTTGACATAACATGTTTAAGGCCTCTAAATAATCGGTTGGCTGGCAGTGTTTACTTCTAGCGAGTATTATCTACGTATATTTTACGTTTAGTTGTTCCATGTGTCAGTGTGTAAATATATATTGTCCTGGGTAAGAGGCTGTTTGTATTTGTGTGAAGTAGTGGCATTCGCCGTGTGATCAGCAGGAGCAGAAAAAAAATCTGAAAGGATTTCCATCGTACCAAAATATTAAGCTCAGGCTGCTGTAGTAAAATGTGCTGTGTTCATGTTACAACCCCGCAGGCACAGACACGCGTGTGCCTGTGCCTGTGCGGGTGGCTTTTGAGGAGAAATTAGGCGCCTTGTTCAATTCGCTAGAGAAAATCACTGATTTTCAAGATAGCTTATAGCATGTTAGAAATGTGCTAACTTTGGGCAATAAATAATCCGCGTTTAGGGGTTGCTTCGACAAAACAGGTTTCACGGTTGAATTTAATCCCCCTCCATTTAGGAAGGGGCTATGCCTGCGTGAAATAAACGCGTTAATGTCTTGAAAGGTTTGTCCCAGTCTATCAGGGCTGGGAAGGAATTCTTGGTCAGCCGACTTGCATGACCTCGGTCACTGCTGGTTTTTTTGGTTCAGATATTTATGAATTATAAGGTAGTGACTTGAACAAATAAGACACAGAACCGTGAAAGCAGTCTGTCCATGTGTAAGTACCTAAAGGGACCTCAGAGCCGCCGGCTTCAGGGCTCTTCAGAGGAGAGTGCAGAAGCCCCGTCTCCGCCTTTTCTGGGAAAAGCAAAACCTCGGTATCAGTTTAAAAGTAAGAAGCAGAGGGTCAGGGACCCTGGAAGCGACATTTAAACCGCAGTACAATGCAGCGGTGGTCTTGCTTTCCCTCACGGAGCTGGGAACAGCTTTGGGGACCTGGTCTGGCTTGGTGCTTTTGGCATTTTGGTTTTCTGTGTGCTGGCCGGCATTGGTTTGATGGGAGTTTGATGGGAGTTTTATCTGCTGCTCACTCGAGGGTTCTCCTGCAGCAGCCAGAGAAGTTTTCTGGCCGGGGTCGCTCGTTGGCGCTGTGCACACTTCTGAAGAATATTGTACCCCTGTCCTGGGCAGTTTGGCCGACGTTCAAAGCTTTTAGAAAGCTTGGTGTGTTGCCCTTTTTTTTTTTTTTTCCCTGCCTAACATCGAAGTTTGCCAGTGGCTGGGGGGAACCTTGCATCTTGAGCATACGGTGCTGCGATGAGAGGTGGCTCGCAAGCTCTGCCTCGGGAGGAGCGGAGACCAAGGACGGGAGCTGCTTTCTGGGAGCACTGACCTGGGGAAATTAATGGCTTGCATTGGAACCACGTTGTTATATTACATTTTTCAGGATCTGGTTGACAGAAAATAATTTACTCTGCAATTGACATGGCTGACAGGTTTTTTCCTCGTATGTACTTTCCCCTTTATCTCTTATTCCCTCTCATTTTAAACAGTATGTGTGCATCTAGCGTTGTTGCCAGTGCATCCGATGGGGGTTTATGGGTTTCAGACTGTGAAAATGACATTTGTTTTTCACTCTTGTCGCTGCATTGTGTTGACAAGGTGTTGATTTAGCTTTAGGAATGATCTGGTCACATGGTCCTTCGCATATTGTCACTAATGTACCGTTTAAAGTCGGTTTGGGCTTTCCCCCCCTCTCAGTGTGCTTTATTGATGAAAAGGGGGTTTGCTTAAGGATTCGGAGACTTGTATTTTCCCATCCAAGCATCTTACCGTGGTGCTGCAAATCTCTTTACACCTTTTGCAAAACTTTGCACTGCGCTCGCTTCATCCGCGGGAGGATTTTCAAACGAGAGTCAAAACGGGGGGAAGGAAAGAAAGAGAGAGAAAAAGAGTCAGGGGGAAGAGAAAGGGAGGAAGGAGAGAAATGAAGAAAAAGGAGATGGAGAGATCGGGGATGCCGGCGCGGTGGAGCGGGAGCTGGGGCTCGGCACCTCGCCGGCGGTGCGGGGGGCTCGGTCCCCGGGAGCGCGGCGTGGTTCGGAGGGAGGGAGGGAGCGGAGGGGGAGAGGAGCGATCTCAGACCAGCTTCTCGCACCGAGTCGACGTGGAGAGAGGCCCCTGAGAGGATCCG